AAAGTGTGCTCAATAATTTTTACTGGCCAGCTCTGATACAGCTACCCGCTTTTTGTTTTTATCATTTCCTTGTGTTCCCGTATTCAAAGTTGGCCACTATCCGTTATCGAAAAAAACAATCTAATTGAAAAAAAAAAGAAAAAAAAGGCAAAGTATCGCAAAATTAATTGGCCCATGTTACGGCGCAACAATTCCCCGTACCCAGCACCGTGTCCGGTTGATTTAGTTGCTTAAAGCACGTCGCGCATTCGATACGCAGCTGCCGCCCACTCGACCAGAACGTTGCAATTGATTCGCATTAAGCTAAAATCCTAGCCAGAATGTACGGACAGCAAAGGCATCCGGGCATCCGGAACTTTGACTCCCTGAAAACCTGGTCAAACTGGGCCGGTGGACTCGGCGTGGTGAGTAACACATATAGAAGCTGTTATCGGCGCTGCACCTGAATGTTGACCTCTTTCCGCCCATTTGATAATTGATAAGAACGCGTCTGTGGGCCAACTCTCAATTTTAGATACACAACTGTCCATACTCGTTCACAGAAGAGAAGAGGGTATATTTGTTCTGTGAAATGTCTGTGCATCTTTAGATCTATTAATCTCTTCGTCGATTCGTTCGTCTATTCGTCTGTCTATATGTCTATCCGTCCGTCTGTCCATCCGTCCGTCCATCCGTCTGTTCACTCGTGCCTATTCGTGTGTCTATTCGTCCATCCCTCCGTGTCTGTGTCTGTCTTTCCGTCCATTCTCTATCCATTCCTTTGTCCATCCGGCTGTCCATTCGTATGCCCATCTATCCGTCCATACTCTGTCCGTCCGGCTGTTTTTTCTTCTGTTTCGTACGCTCATCTGTCTCTCCATTCCTGTGTCCATCCGTCTGTCTATCCATCAGTCCAATCATCTGCCCATCCGTCCATCCGAATAGCCATCTATCAATATATGAAATAAATATTGTATTAAATTATCCGAGCCTTTGCAAGTAGAGGGCAGTAAATCGCCAAAATCTATGTCTGTGACAGTCTTAAAGCTCTAGACTATTTGGCCACGCCCAACGGCGCCTTTCCAAATCGCAAAAGTCTCTATTATCCACACTTTTTGATCTAGAGTGACAGCATTTGGAATAAAGAGACTAGAGATTGGCTCTTCTAGAGATAAAAGAAATCGATATCTATGTGTTAAGCTCTTATTGGACTGCCAAAGAGTATTACGCAGTCGGTTGCACTACAAATTGAATAGTTATCAACAGGAAGACCTGCACACACACACACACACACACACATACACCTGCCGATCAGCTGCCCCTAATCAATCACAGCTCTTATCAAAGCGCTGATTCATTCGCAACTGGCTGCAGTCCATATTGACCCTTAACTCCTTTTGCAGGCCCAAGCCTGCATCTGGATAGCGCTCACGATCACGGCAATCTGTGCGTACACCTGCCATGTCTATATAACCGACGACATGACTTATGGCACCTTCGTGAAGACCATCTTCTTCGAGGTCTACTTCCGCGGCAGTTGCAAGATGTCGACGGAATACTATCAGAACTTCAATTCGACCATATTGGACCTGGTCACAACTGTCTTTGATCCCACGCAGGTTCTGGTCTGGGACTGCGTTTACCTCGGCGTCTCGGTTGGCTGGCTCGTCGTCTCCATTGTGCTCCTGACTTGTAAGTACGAAGACACCGAGAGTCTAACTCTTGAAAATATTTCAAAATTCCTTGAATATAGCCATCGAAAATCTGGGTATTAAGTGGTTTTTATAGGGATTTTCCTTTATGTGGGGCACTTTTTTGTTGTTGTTTGTTTTGTGACTAAAAGTATGACGGAAATTACGAATTTGATTTTCATTTGTGATTCACGCGGCGGAATCTAGAATAAAGTAAATCGGTTTTATCTATTATAAAGACATTTCAATAGTAACTTTTATTATCAAGCAGCTGAAGCAAAAGATAAAATCAAAATAATAAAAAAAAGAAACGCTCTAGTTATGGCTGCCCGACTAGGAGCTACCCTACATTCAAGAAATCGGAATAATGTATCAAGGCTGTATATTTTAAAATTCAATTAATTTTAAAATTCAATTATTTAATTTACATTAGATGCATTCGAGAACTATCAAGGCAATTCAATTGTCGAAAGTTCTTAAAGTCGATATTTATTGAAATGGGGGCTTTCCACTCTCTAACTCTTTGGTATATAGATTAGATATATGCGAGAATTGACTGACCAATCCAATTGCCCCAAGGATTAAAAATCGATATTTATCGATATAGGGGAAAGAGGTAGATCGATTAGCTGTAAACCAGAAATAAACTCAATTGTGCCACGTTCTTACAATCAATATGTATCTATATGGAGGAAAGAGCTCTAGATCGATAACATTTATCGATATAGGAAAAAGTGGTGGTTATCGATATCTTATATTTATTTGATTGATAAGAAAAACTAGATATACTCCTATCTGATCCCTTGTTAAATATTAATATAGCCCAAAAGCCATAGATGCAATATACCCCATTTATAGAGATTTTACTGGGGCACAGGGTATACGATTTAATATTGCGCATGGACACAATTGAACAAAGATAAACGATTGGTTTGTTTGCTTTTATGATATTTTGCTGTTGTGTAAAAAACGATGAGGTTGCTTCACGTACTTGGTCTAAAGTATTGCTTGTCGTCCACTTTTCAATGTCGAGCACTTTCTATCCATCGATCAGCGATGAGGGCCTTAAGTCGACTTGATAGATGTGTCACAAATGGCTTTGGTCTTTCCCTGATTTGTTTTTCTTTGTTATCTTTTTTCAGGCGTGCGCAAAGACAATGTCAAGCAGACCCTGGGCGCTATCTACAGCTGGGCATTCTTTGTGGCCGCCATCTGTGCGATGGACCTGGCCTCTGGCGTCATCTTTGGCGTCGACTTTGGCTGCTTCCATGCCAAGGCATCCGAGTTTAATGCGAACAGCATCAATATCGGCGTCATCGATCCCAATGCGGCCCAGCTCGTAGCCGGAGGCGTCGCTGCCATTTCCATGATGCTCATCTCCTTCAAGGGCTTCATCATGTGGTACATAAACCTGCATTTGCTGGTCGTTTTGCTGGTGCGCGGCGTGCAAATAGAGCATGATAAGGATGGCTCGGTGAGTGGGTGACTAAAACGGGTGACATCATCATCTGGCATTGCCTCATGTAATTGTATCATAAACTGGCGTGTCAGACAGCTAAGCTCCGCCCCCGAAAAGCAACTAAGATCAATGAGCTGTTTCCAAAAATATGTAGACAACTAACTCAAGACGCTCAGGTGTGTGTAGGCGATATTAAATTGCCGCCGACTACGACATGTCTAAAGTTAGCCCCGTGTGTGCACATGTACCCAACGCCAAGGAGCTGCCAGCTGATAAGCTGGAAGCGTCCAGCAGTCGATACATTGGCTCAATGCTCTGCTGATAAGCGATCGGAATTTATTTGTCGGTGGCGCGTTTAAATATTATGTAAAGCACGCTCTAGTGTGCAGCTAAAAGCATACCCTGTAAATATTAACTATCATGACAAACGAATGCCTGTGCCAAGGACTCGGCTTGTGAACCTAATTCATCAACAAATTTCTTTCTGTGTCAATTATTTTATTATTAATTTCCATATCTTATCAACAAATTAATGGATATTATGGCATATGAAATTGAAGCTTAATCAATCTACTCATATATCTAATCATTTTTAATTTACTTACAGGACACGCTCTTCATGCCACGCAAGGACTCCAATGATATTCTCACTACCAGACCGCCCATTCGCGCCTACGAGGAAGAGAAGTGAGTGTAGCTGCCTTTTAAGTCGATAGCTTTTATTAAAATAAATTTCCTCGAATGCCTTGTAGAGTGGAGGTGCAGGCGTATAACAATGAAGCCTTCATGCCGGATACTCGCTCCACTGCGGAGACTATCGAGGTGAACGAGGAGGCCATTGTGCGAGCCGCCCATATGTCGCGTGATGCCAATCTGATGGATCGCCGTTTCCGCAGTATCGATGCCTTCCAGCAGTATCCGACGCCGAATGCGAACAATCGGCCCGCTCGTCAGTCATCGCAGGGTCCTGTGCAGGAGACGATTGTTGTGGCGACGTCGGGTTTCCCGATGCCCGATTACTCGCCACAGCCCAGTCCCAATGGGATTTTGCGGTCTCACTACTAAATCGGGAAAAGAAGAGGGCGCCAATGCATTTCTACATAATAATCCATATAATTCTCAAATAATTCCCGCCACAGTAAAGCCAGCAAACAAGTAAAGCAGATAAAGTTAAGTAAAAGAAAAGTGACGCCAATTGTAGTTTTTTATCAGACCGTCTTATTTATTTACGTTCGTTTAACAATAGATGTATATACAACCTGCAATTGCAACTGTGACTACAATATACATATACATATTTATACTTATTTGCACACCCAGTATAATTAGATGTGTTTGTTTTTTATTCGGTTGCTGATAAGGCAGCAACAAACTAATGCTAAATTTTACTGCCGATTGAGAATCTTGCCCCCAGCAACGATACGCTTTGCTTGACATCGGAGTCATTGTCAAATGTGCGCGACGTCATATGCATGTGATAATTGTGATAGTCTACATACTCACTATACAATTTGAAAATGTATGTTGAGCGCCAATTATGAAATTAATCGATTACTACTAGCAGGGCTGCAAAAATACGAAAATAATACTAAATTCACATTTATGTTGAGCATTTTGCGTTGACGTTGCTCAGTTGCGCGCTTACGTTGCGCAGTTTGAGCATATCCATTGAACGCAGGTCAATCAAAAGTTCACAAATATATTCATAATATTGATAAGCCGGTCGTTTTCGACGACAGATTTTGACACTAGACAGTATTGTCGAACGTAAAACGTAGTACGCTCGCTCAATATTGCTCATTTCATTTCGAGACGTGGTCGCGAGCATAACACACGCCGGTGAAATTCGTTGAACATAAATTACATTACAGGCAACTAATTTGCAACGGAAAAATGGTTTTCATAACAAAATTGGCTCGTGTGGGCGCACAGGCGGCTCGCCAGCTGCGTGCCACGCCTCTTGCAGCATCACAGTGCCGCAGTTTTCACGCCAGCTGCATGCTCGCCAAAGGTAAAGATATATTTATGCAATCACTCAGCAAAGACAACAACAGTTGTGGAGCCACTGAGCACAATGCAGCTAAAACTGCAACAGGTTCTCACATGTTTTTGTTTTTTGACCAATTCACAGAACGCCGCTTCACAGACAAACACGAGTGGGTCGAGCTGCTGGACGCCAACAAAGCGGTTGTGGGAATTTCAAGCTATGCTCAGGAAGCGTTGGGCGACGTTGTCTTCGCCCAGCTGCCCGAGCCGGGCACCGAGCTCAAGCAGGACGACGAATGCGGCGCCCTGGAGAGCGTGAAGGCTGCCAGCGAGGTTTACTCGCCGGTGAGCGGCAAGGTGACGGAGAAGAATGCGGAGGTCGAGGATACGCCGGCGCTGGTGAACAGCAGCTGCTACGAGAAGGGTGAGCATACAATTGGATTAGGTCTATATTCTTGTCCACTAATGAATACCCCTCCCTCCATACGCAGGCTGGCTGTTCAAGGTCGATCTCAAGAATCCCGCTGAATTCGAGAAACTCATGACCGAGGAGCAGTACAAATCATTTCTTAGCAGCAGTTCCGATCACTAGACGCTAATCGGAATATTGCTGCTAACCAAACACGCCCGCTGTTAACTGTTAATCTGCACCAAAACTCACGCACACACACAAACTCATTCATTTTCACACACACACACACGCATACGCACAATGTCCACGTTGTTGTTGCATTTGGATTTCGTTACGCTTTAAGAATAAACTGAAAAGCCAAATATTACACTTAAAACAATGACAATCGCAATCACAATTGACCTGCGCTGGCCCCCCATGGAATCGCTGCGGCTGCGGATTTGATAAGACGCCGAAGAGAGTCTGCTCTGTGTATGTGCGCGCGCGCGCTCTTATCGAACCACTCAAAAAGCCGCTCAATGTTAGATCAGCGTCGAACAGCGTGGCTCCGGCTCAGAGCGGAAATGTACGCTGAGCTGGGCATGTAACAGTCTGTTGCTGAGGCTGCGATTATCAGCTGATTACGTGCGGAAAACGCACTGGGCACACACCCTTACGAGCCGTGGAAACATAAGACCTGTTACTCTGATAAGCGATTGATGGACATGTCGGGCGACCGTTAGTGTCTGGCCACAGATGCTGATAAGCGCCGCGCAGCTTGAACTTGAAGCGTTTTCGTGTGTGCGCGCGCGCGCTGAAAGCTCCCGCCGAAAGCTCACCGAAATGGCAAAAGCTTTAAATCGCACGAGCGCTGCGCTCAGTGCTCAAATTGAACTCGAATCGTGCGGTACAAGAAGTCGTGCGCTGCGGGTAGTAGAAAAGAACCCCAACCCGAAAGCATTGTTCAACACATTCACACGCAAATAAACGCATACAGACACACACACACAGTCGAGAGGCAAACAAATTGAAAGAAAACACACGGGCGCATTGAAAAGTTGTATGTGAAAAGGATAATTGTCAGAAATTTGCGAAGCCAAGTGAACAAAAGGAAAACCTACATATATTTAAAACATAGACAGCCAGACGCAAAATGCCAACGGAAAAATCAATATTCAATCCAAATCCGGCAATCAGCCGAAATGCCTACATATCCAGCTTCGATGAGTACAAGAAATTCTATCACGAGTCCTTGGACAATCCGACCGAGTTTTGGTCGCGCGTTGCGAAACAATTTCACTGGGAAACGCCAGCGGATCCCTCGAAATTCATGCAATACAATTTCAACATCTCCAAAGGACCCGTTTCGATCAAATGGATGGAGGGCGCCTCGACCAACATTTGCTACAACCTCCTCGATCGAAATGTGCGCAACGGCCTGGGCGATCAGATAGCGTTCTACTGGTAAGTCCAATCAAGTCCTTTGGCCAGTTGCGTAGGTCGCATGAAAACAAAAGTGTAAACGTGCCAAGGATATCGATTTTTTCCTCATCTTCTTCTTCCTCTTCGTGCTCTGCTGTTACGAAACGCAGTCGTGACGTCGCCAGCCCTCGCTCGCCTCCCCGCCACCTACCCTTGGTCGGGCTGCATTGCGCAGGCACACGAGAAAACAGATGTTCGCAATTTAATTGAGCTCGAGCTTCGGTTGTTACCGCTACCATTGCTGTTACCGTTACTTGGGTTAGGTCGCTCTCTCAAGGACAGAGAGCCTCTGCTCTGGAATGAGCTTAAATACGAACATGAACTGACAGCTGACTGTTAATTCATTAGTTTGAGCAGCTCTGCTGTCAGATTTAGCAGCTACTTTCGGAAGGGTCAATGTCAGGGCCCTGACCAGGCCACATAAACTATGAATTCCAGTTCTAGGATTGCAATTTGTGTTGTTTACAAAGTGCTTAAATATTAGATATGCAGCAGCAAAGTAGCAAAGTAAACAAATGCAAGTACTTCAAATACATATTGCTTGGGGCTTGAATATATTACAAAACTTTCCCAGACTTTGTTTGACGCGCTTACAAATGAAATTTGTAATCGGAATTAATTAGTATTTTTGTGTTTATCAATGTATAATTAAACAGGTGCTGCCTATGTCTGTGTGCAGTTCAGTCGAGTGCTCTTCAAAAGTCATAAACGCCCTCAGATTGCAAAAGTAAATGCGTCTTACAGTTTATATAAATATAGTTGTTGTTTGTTGTTTCTTCTTCTTGTGTGTGTGTGTGTGTGTGGCATGTTTTGCTTCTTGCAGGTTATCGGGCACAAGGTTCAAATCAATCTCGACATCTTGCTGCCTGTCGAGCCGTCACACCAAAAAATAAAACAAAAATGTTAATTCTCTAATCTCGGGGGTTATCGCCGCAGTTCAGCTATGGACGCGTGCGAAAAGAAATGCAAATGATTCGGGAAACGGAATCCGATTCGGAATCGGTATACAAATAGATTATTAAGTCAGGTATGTGAAAGGCAAACGCAAGGTCAAACAATTGTCTGAGTCCCTGCTCTCGCAAGTCTATAATTTGAAAATTATTAAACTCAAATCCCAAACACAATTCGTCCATCAGTTAGATAAGATAAAGGCGCGTACCTGAGCAATTTGCACGTAATGAGCATTAATTAACACAGCTCGCTGGAAAAAATAATAATAAATAGATAATACACAGGCACAACAATAAAGGTAACCCAAAGCAAAGCAAAGCAAGGCAAACAGGCAAATCTGTGGTTTTTTTAACTTTTACTGGACTATAAAAATAAACCGAGGCATTTCTTCTGATACAAACGCACGCACACACACATAAGCAGACACACACACACACACACGCACGTGTAGCTCTGAAAAGTGCTTATATAAGCGAACGATTAGCACAAAGCGCGCAAATTGTTTATTCAAATTGATTTCGCTGCGAACGCACAAAAATCAAATTAAATATTTCGCGCCTCAATGTGTGTCAGTCTGGTGTCTGGCAATGGCCAACGGCGACAAGGTGCGCGGAAAGAGTGCCAGTGTCAAATGTTGAGAAGTTTAGCTCGAGCTGCGCGCCGAGCGCAGCTTCCGCTCTGCATGCCAAAGCGCAGCCACACTTACAGTTTTGGCGGCATTGTGTGTCGCGCAAAAATCACGCGATCATATGGTCCGATTACTCGCAACCAATCGCAGCGAGAATTACTACGCATTCACACATGCGCTGAGGCGGCTAAAACGTGTCTGTGTGTGTGTGTGTGTTTGTGTGGGTGGTATGAGTGTGTGTGCGCAAAAGAAACGAAGATAATGTTAATGCTGACACACCTACAGTTCGAACAAAAGGGCAACAGCAGCAACATAACGGGCATAGAAGTGAGGGGGTGGGGGGAGGCGATCGCCATATGTTTGTCTGGTTTTGTCCACGTTTTGTTATCATTTGGTATCCATTCCATTGAATTGCCCTCATTATGGTAGTATACAACTGTGCGTATCTTTTATCTCAGTCGAATACAAAACACAAATTCATAATCAAAACCTTTTGCATAATGTTGCATAAATTAGCGTCTGCGACTCGTCTAGCCGAAAATCATACGATGTTGCTCTCAAACTGTAGGGCCAGACCCAGACACAGCGACGCTTAAAAAAGCTGCAGCGCTTTGACTTCTTCACGCAATCTACTTTAAACTAACACAACAACAAATGAAAACATTCGATGCGATTTGTTTTCGTGTTGTTGTTGTTGTTTTATTATGTAGCTTTCAGACACGCGAACCAACAGCTGCTTTTGCTTAGATAATTATTGTTGTTGTTGCCATTGCCGGCTGTTGCGCCTCACATGATTTCAGCTCGTTCTTCCCAACACGCCTCTCAAAAGTGGAAGCTAAATTCGCGATACTTTTGATTTGTGATAAGCGCCAGCCAGCCACGCGTCTATCTGCTGCCAACGGCGACGGTCAAGATCATGAGGTTTCCATTTTCGTTTCGTTTCCAGGCAGCATTAAAATGCTCATGGCCAGCATTGCGGCAAAATTGATTAGCCCAAAGATTGTCTAGCGACAACGCGGCCTCAAGTGTTTCTTATTGGGAATTCGGCATTACGTTAACATGGGGAAAAATCGCGCCACCGGGCAACCGATTAAAGCTTCTAGTTAGTCATTTGCGGAGAATGCTAACAAAGGTTTGACATGTACCCATAAACGTAATAGCAATTGCGATCAGTGCTTGTCAAGCTGCGCAGAGAATGATTAACAGAGAGAGGAGAGAGAGAGCGAGAGAGAGCGTGCTTACCTTGGCCTTGAATTTGGCACTGGGCTGCTTAACAGCGCTGTTAGCTTTAACAGACTCTGTTGCTGTACTTAATGAGGTTTTGCCGGCGTTTAGCTAACAAATTTATCAATAGTTTCTGTTGCTGTTTGTTTTTGTTATATTTTTAACATCTTACTAATTAATTACAATTTCGAATAAGTTGAATATTATTTCACGAGGCAGCTATCGCGCCAGCTCATAGCATATCCAAGAAAAGGTGAACTTCGCACCCGTCTTTCGATTTGTGCTTTGCTAAAAATGCGACAAATACGTCATGAGTGCGACCTGGTTTTATACGCTACCCGATTTTCCTTGATGTTCAGAGACTCGCCAAGTCGTTTATGGCGGCAACTGAGTCTTATCGATCCATATGACAAAGCCAACCAATTTAGTCCATGATTTACAGATATTTACGGTCTTTGACTCACTTCAAGAAAACATATTTTTGCTTGGCTTTTGTGTCATACGGCACGTTGTCTAGAACTGTGACAGCTGACCTAGACCAAGACCTGCAGGTGACTTTCTCTATTGTGCACCTGTCCTTGGACAGTCTCGTCAAAATCCGTTCTATGTGCCGGTCCGTCACGATTTTTGATTTGTTTTTGTTTCTGTGCGCGCTCGATTGTGCATTAAATTTGTTGTTAAATTTTATGCATTTTGTATTTGGGTGCCATTAATTATACCCAGGCAATTCAATGGATAACAATACTCTATAAAAGTATGCGAACCAGCAGGATATGTGAACTGCGGTTCATTTGAGCAGGATTTGTTCTACTACCTTGACATTTTATTATCATTTTATTAGACACAACAGAAATTAGAATAATCTTAAAAAACAGAAAATTTAAATATATTTTACAGCTTCTAGAAAGGTTAGTTAATTGCAACTTTTTGTGAATGAGAATTCCTATGAATCTATGAATCTTTGAATGCTGAAGAACAAAATCCAAAGTATGATCTTCTTATCTATAATTACTTCTATCTGTATGCATTGTAGCTGTAACAAATTGTTGATCTGTCTTAGTCTATCTACATCTTAGTATTTTCTCATGTACGCACAACTTTATTGAACACTGTAACAAAAATCATATATATTTATATATGCAGTATATATCGTTGTCGGCATTGCAGCTGTTGACTTTTGTGGGTATTGTGCCGGCGGCCATTGGCTTCGGTTGCCAGGTTGAGAATTAAAGGGAAAGGCGCGCTACTTAGCCAGCAGACGGGGGGGAGAAGGGAAAAGTGAGTCGGGAAGCAATAAGACCCAAATGACAGTCACTGTCAGGCAGCTTATCAAATCAGCAAATTATATTGCAAATTCAAATTAAGTTGGCAGCGACAATTAGGAAGCCTCAAATTGCTGTAAGTGATTCAATTGATTCGGAACGGAACGTGGGCTAAGTAGCCCATCTCTCCCCATATACCCTGTAACTGAGGGAGCTTATTGATGGGCTGCTCATTTTTGGGCACATTGCCAGCGGATTAATAATGTAGTTCCGCATTCATTGTCCATATTGCAGGGAGGGCAACCACCCCGATGACTATTCGCGCGGTCTCACCTACCGCAAGCTGCTGGAGGAGGTCTGCCGGTTCGCCAACGTGCTGAAGGATCATGGCATCAAGAAGGGTGATCGCGTCTCGATCTATATGCCCATGATCCTGGAGCTGCCCATTGCCATGCTGGCCTGCTCACGCATTGGCGCCGTGCACTCGATTGTCTTCGCGGGCTTCTCGCCGGATTCCCTGGCGGAGCGTATGTTCGATTGCAAGGCTAAGCTGCTGATTACGGCCGATGGCGCTTGGCGTGGCGAGAAGCCGCTCTACCTGAAGGCCCTGTGCGACACGGCTCTGGAGAAGGTAGACGAGATGGGTCACTCCGTGGAGAAATGCATTGTGGTGTCGCATCTGAAGCGCGTTACGCCCTGCCAGGAGAATCATGTGGAGCAGGATATACCGTGGACCGATGATCGCGATTACTGGTGGCACGAGGAGATGGAGGACAAGGAGCCGGCCTGCTATCCCGAATGGATGGACGCCGAGGATCCATTGTTTATGCTCTACACGAGCGGCTCCACGGGCAAGCCCAAAGGCGTGCTCCACACTACGGCCGGCTACCTGCTCTATGCGGCCACCACCTTCAAGATTGTGTTTGATTACCATCCCGGTGACATCTACTGGTGCACCGCCGATGTCGGATGGATCACTGGACACACCTATGTGGTCTACGGTCCACTGGCCAACGGCGCCACTTCGGTTATTGTAAGTCATCCCGCGAGCTGGCTTCGGTGGAGCAATTACTAACCTTTTCATATATGTTTTACTTGTAGTTCGAGGGCACGCCCTTCTATCCCGGCAACGATCGCTACTGGAGCGTAATTGACAAGTACAAGGTCACCCAGTTCTATACGGCGCCCACGGCCATACGTGCGCTCATGAAGTTCGGCGAGGCGCCGGTGCTCAAGCATAATCTGAGCGGTCTCAAGTAAGTGTACAACACAATGCCAAAGCAGACTATCGAGCTGATGTTCTCGTCTTTCCACAGGGTATTGGGCAGCGTTGGTGAGCCCATTAATCCGGAGGCCTGGCTCTGGTACTATCGCAACATTGGCAAGGAGCAGTGCTCCATTGTGGACACGTTTTGGCAAACGGAAACTGGCGGTCATGTCATAACGCCTCTGCCCGGCGCCACGCCTATGAAACCAGGCTCTGCTGTACGAAAGATGATATTAATTGACCTGGATCAATATATAATTCCATGTCTGTGCTTCTCTTGCAGACGTTTCCCTTCTTTGGCGTCAAGCCCTTGCTGCTGGATGAGTGCGGAATTGAGATCAAGGGCGAGGGCGAGGGCTACCTGGTATTCTCGCAGCCCTGGCCGGGCATGATGCGCACGCTGTACAACAATCATGAGCGCTTCGAGGACACATACTTCTCCAAGTTTCCCGGCTACTATTGCACTGGAGACGGTGAGTTTAACTGGCATACAGGATCTATGCATATCGTTATACTTTACAAATCTTGCCAATACAGGAGCTCGTCGCGATGCCGATGGCTATTTGTGGATCACTGGCCGCGTGGATGATATGTTGAACGTGTCGGGCCATCTGATGTCCACCGCCGAGGTGGAGTCTGTGCTCACCGAGCATCCACGTGTCGCCGAATCGGCTGTGGTATCCCGGCCGCATCCGGTCAAGGGCGAGTGTCTATATTGTTTCATAACGCCCAATGAGAATGAGGCGTTCGACCAGAAGCTAATCGCTGACCTTAAGAAGATGGTGCGCGAACGCATTGGCCCCTTCGCCATGCCAGATGTTATACAAAATGCGCCCGGCTTGCCCAAGACGCGCTCCGGCAAGATAATGCGTCGGGTGTTGCGCAAGATTGCCGTCAACGATCGAAATGTGGGCGACACCTCCACCCTGGCCGATGAGCAGATTGTGGAGCAGCTGTTCGCCAATCGTCCCGTGGAGGCCAAGTAGACAGACCCAGACACAGAGCCAGACCCAATGACCGACCCCAGTTACTCTTCTTTGGATTCTAGCTTTCAGCTTAGCTCCTCTGCAAACCTCTACTTAGCCATAGTTTGCTGCGTTCGCATTTAGGCTGGCCAATTCGACCAGTTAATATCCACGTATGCTATTTACGTGAAACTTGTAAATCTCCCCCCAATCCTTTCTATCCAATACATATATATGTATATATATATGCATATATATATATATATATTACTTATGTTTAGCGCCAACTGTTGGCCCCGCGAGGGGCTTACAGATTCCACCTAGTTCTTAAGCTGTGTGCGTAAGTAAGGATCTATGCACCTGTTATTTTCGATATATTCGTTATACATATATTGATATTTTGAATGTGTGAATTGGTTCTGAATCGTATACATAAATGTCTTTATAGAATGTAGTTAATATGCTGAGCACGCACACATTTTTCTTCACAGTTCTTTTGTTTGTTTGTTGTAGTCTTAGCCTAAGTTCTTGCTAAATTCGTTGTGATACAAATTTAATTATATTGATTATGTATGTATTTTTAGTAGAATTGATAAAACAAAATATATACACGATTTCAGTAATACCCATTAACAACACATTAACACTAAATTTTGATTTTATCCCATAGATTGTAGTATATTTTTAAAATTATTTTATATGCTTTTGCTATATATTCTGCAGCCGTTTACAGCACCAGCCTAAGCTAAGGAACACGTAAGTCCGGATTATATATCTATATCTATATTTGTGGTTTCGTGTTGGCGATATTTACTAGACGTTCCGAGCGTTTGTTAGTCTTAAGATTGGAAAAGATACATATCAATGTGGCATAATGCTTATAAACATTCCAAAATACTAATTTGATATACATATTTTATCAGCTATATACATATAGATATATATATATCGCTATATGGTCGAAAAAGACTTCCCGCAACGAGAACATATCATTGAAAAACTCTGCTTAAAAAAAAACTTAAAATATATACATATCATTATTGTTACTCGTTTACCCCGTTGTTCAGTTAGAACTATGTATATCGTATCTCTCAACTGAACATGGTGTGAACGGACCACGTAGTATTGTTATTGTTAGTTATCCACGTTGGAGACGGCATCGAAGGGAGAGCTATGAATGGAACGCGGGTGCTGCTTGATCCTAAAGGGGGGTCGCCAGCAACGCCCCCCGGTCTGATTGTAAAAAGTTGTTTAGGTTTTTAGAGCGTCGATGCGAGCAGATTTAAACAAATACATGTGAATTGAACCAGATATGTACATACCAATATATATATATATATATATAAATATATTTATCGAATCTTATATGTGTATAATAAAGTTTATTGTTTCAATGTATATACGAGTTTTCATATCCCTTGACTTAAACTTCTTAAGGCTAACACATTTTCATTATTTGCTTTACCTTAGTCCTAAGTGCAAAAGTTGTCAAAATGCAAGTACCTTTAAGAGCTGTGACCGGCCATTGTCCAGGCAGACAATTCTCGACGGCGGATCGCGATAGGGCGTGTCAGCTTATAAAGCAGCTAACCCGGGAGGCCGGAGAGGTAGTCGTATCATTTGAGTAGGCAGCATAGCATGGATAATCGCCGGAGATAATATTTACAGCTGATGATGAAGGGGCACGAGCAGAAGCCCGAGTTCAAAATGAAGGTACATCAGCGCGATCTGGTGACACAGACGGACAAGGCTGTGGAGCGCCTACTGGTCGATGGTATACGGAAACAGTTTCCAGATCACGAGATCATTGCCGAAGAAGGCACTGAAGGCACCGCCAAGAGCTGGGTCCTGAGCGATGCGCCCACTTGGATCATAGATCCCGTCGACGGTACAATGAACTTTGTGCACGGGTTCCCTCACTTCTGCACATCGATTGCCCTGTACGTGGAGAGGAGGGCCGTGCTCGGCTGGATTGACAATCCCATGCTGAGGCACACATATGTCGCGCAGCAAGGATCGGGATTCTACTTCAATAAACAGCCGATGCGAGTCAGCGGACAGCGGGATCTCAAGCAGTCGCTGGTCTGCCTGGACTGGACCGTGGCTCTGGGCGAAGATGGCAAGGATTCAGCCTCGCCCAATATCTTCAAGCTGCTGCCCATGGTGCATGGGTGAGTGGAGCCTCAGATACTCATATGACTGTTCGTGCGCTACTCCAAAATGCTTTTCCAGCGTACGCGCCCTCGGCTCAACGGCACTCAATCTGGCGCAGGTGGCCATTGGTGCCTGCGATGCCTACTTGCAGTTCGGCTCACACGTTTGGGATTGGGCTGCAGGCGTGCTGATGGTCGAGGAGGCGGGTGGTGTGGTCATCGATCCGTGCGGCGGCCCCTTTGATATATATTCGCGTCGCTTGCTGGCAACGGCAACGCCAGAGCTGGCCGAGCAAATGGTACCCCTGGTGCAGCAGCTGTTCCCCCAGCCACGTGATGACGAGCCAACACATCCAGGAAAACAATCGATGCCTTAAGCATGCCTTGACTACGATCAGCCAAAGCTTTGTCATGTATGGAGAAATAAATCATTTTAAATTTTCTAGTGATTCAAGATAGCCAAATGCAAAGCATAATTAGGGGTTTCTTGACAAGCAGCCGTCGCCAGTGCCAGGCTCCGCCTGCAACGGCGACTGGCCCATCTGTCCAGGCAGTGTCACAGGGACGAGATGACACATGTCATCGTGGCATGGACAAATGCCTCGAGCTGGCCTGTAAAGGCGTGTGGCAGCAGATGCATGCCTTCCACGCGAGGCCCAGCCCCAAGATGGCGGCAAACAAATGGGACACGCTGATTGAAGATGTGCTGGTGCGGGACACCGCGATGCATTCGCCAAATGAGTAGGTAGACCCAAGCAGCAGTAGCTCATAGAGTGCTAATCCAATCCTTGCCCAGATTCATAGCCGAAAACAAGGCTGATGAGTCCATCTGGCCTGTCGATGACATCGATGGCTTTGTTAAACTTTTCCCCGGTTGTCCCAATGCTGCAATTTCGTGGGAGATGGACTCTGCAATGCTGACTGTGCCGCAGGCGGGTGGCATAGTCATGGATACCCCAGTGAATCCTTTACATTTAATAAGCCTCTGGCTGCTCCTATCAAAACAGCGAGATAATGAGCTTAAAGGTGTAGAAATAACTCAACCAGTTGACCAGGACTCTGCTAGGATCGACGAGCTGCCCAGGGAGAGAGCTGCAGAGGAGTCGATTGTGGCAATAGCCAAAGAGAAGGACGCAGGAAAATCTAAAAAATCATCAGGAAAGACTTGTCCACAACAGCCGAAAATTCGCAAACAGAAAAGAAAACTTGCAAGACGGCCTCCCAGAAAACCTTGTGGTACACCCAATAAACGGGACGACTCGAAACCTGGTGATCCGTGCATGCCCGGCTATAGTTTGTAGATCATGTGCTGGAATGGTAGCCATGAAAGACGACTCATCGACCAGTGACTCGTGTTGTTTTTCTCTCATTCGCACACAAACTAGAACCTTGCTAGATAGACGACGGCGACGAGGAAGGCTGCTCATCTGCCATTGACTGGACTTTACGCGGCCACAGTTTCGAATTTGGATTGAAGCAGGCGCAGTTTATATTATTAAAATATTTATTAACAAATTTGGAAAATAAACTACCGATTGCCATTTAAAAATGTTTCGATTCGCGTGTCTGCGACTGCTGCCACTAGAAAAGGCCTCCATTCGAGGGAGTGCGACCCACGTGGACGTCGACCAATGCGCTGTGGAGGTCTGTCGCCTGGTCGACCGGGCTGCAGGGGTAAGAGTTGGGCGGAAAGCAGACGACAGTGCTCCATTAAGATATCCTGTCTGACCGACAGCACCTAAGGGCGGCTAGTGGAAAGATTCGCGGCTTTGAAACCAAACTGAACAGCAAGGATTTGGTTACAGCCACGGATCGCGAAATTGAGGAGCTGTTGATAAAGGGCCTACGGGGACGCTTTCCCGAGCACGTTTACATTGGCGAGGAGGGCACCGCCGGCGCATCTACGGGCCGCAAGCTGACCGAGGAGCCCACCTGGATCGTTGACCCCATCGACGGCACCACAAACTTTGTGCATGGCTTCCACTGCAGCTGCATCTCGGTGGGCTTCTGGCTGAACAAGCAGCCGGAGCTGGCCATCTGCCACAATCCCACATTGGAGCTCATCTTCACAGCCCGTCGCAATCGTGGCGCCTACCTGAATGGCGAGTCCATACGGACAAGTGGTCAGACCGAGCTGGAGCGTTCACTGATTATGCAGGAGCTGAACGCCGAGAATCTTGAGCGATGCGAGCACAGGGACATACTGTTGGCAAACGCAGTTGGAATGCTGCTCAAGGCACATGCGTAAATAGTATAATGGAATATGAAGTCGACTTGAAAACAAAGGTCTCTCGCATACCACAGCCTGCGCACCACGGGCTCCGCCGTGATGGACATGTGCCTGGTGGCCATGGGCGCTGCCGACGGCTATTACGAGTTCTATCCGCATGCCTGGGACTTGGCAGCGGGCGCTTTGCTCGTCCGCGAAGCGGGTGGCGTCGTCATGGATCCAGCCGGTGGCGAATTCGATATCATGTCCAGGCGTGTCCTGGCCGCTGCCACGCCAGAGCTGGGCAGTCAGATGGTGCGACTGCTGGGCGACAGACAAATCTATCATCATCGAGACGATGAGCCCCCCGGAAATCCAACTCCAAATTCAAGTAGGATCCGATGTGTGTGAGTAGGCAAATAAATGTGGCTGGCATTGAGCCAGACGTCAAAATGTATTATTGTTTTCCGAGATTCGTTTAGGTATCTATACACACACACACACACACAAACACACGGGTACTGTTAAAGTTTTCGGGTCTTGTCCAGTCATTTGTTTCAAAGCATGCAACTCTTTGATGGGAGTTGGTAGATAAAAAACATCAGCATCAGACGTATCCTCTTGCTAGCCAATTTATTGCCATGGTCGACGAGAAGAAGGGCGCGGAGAACCCCAGCCCAAAGCAGCCAGAAAGGGAGGTGCTAGAAAATGCGGCCACCAGCTATGGGCTCGAGGATCACGAGGCGACCGCTCAGGATCCGCGGGTGAATGAACTGCAGAGGTCACGCTCGATGAGTATGCGTAAGTCCTTGACGCCGTCCGCGAGACTTGGGCCGACCTCAAAGCCCGTGTCTAGGAGCGCGAGCTATGCTCGATATTCTCAGGCACGCGAAGAGCCACACCCAGCTCCAAAGGCAAAGGAGGCACCAGCAGCAGAACAGCCCGAACACGTAGCAAAAAATGCGGCGCGCAACTATGGGCTGGAGGATCATAAGGCCAACGTACAAGATCCGCGTGTTGCTAACATGCACGCCTCCCGTGAAAAGGCTCCAGTCGAAAGTCGCGAACAGCTGACGCCTATTTTGGAGTCCACTTCAAAAACAACCGAACCCGCGCCGGCCAAGCCCGTCAAAGAGGGCCCTCAAGCCGTTACCAGCATTAATAAGCCAGCAGTCGTAGTCGCAACACGCACGCAACCTGCTCCGCCTGCATCTCCACCTGCTCCGCCTGCTGCTCCACCTGCTGCAATCGCTGCACCCGCTGCTCCTCCCGCTGCTCCTCCCGCTGCTCCGTCAGCTGCACCCGCTCCAGCCCCTGCTCCATCCGCTGCAACCGTTGCACCTGCTCCACCACCAGCAGCAAATAAAGACAAAATGAAAGCGGTCTCCAAATTCACCAATACCGACGTCACGTTCGATCCGTCAAAGGAGTATGCGTCAAAGACCACAAATACCGCGGGTAGTCTCTATACGGATGACGAAGAGCCCGCAAAAGCGCCGGCAGCACCACCAGCGCCGGCAGAGCCACCAGCACCACCAGAACCAGTTAAGGAGGAGAAGCCTGCATTCAATTTAGACGAATGCTATGCATTCGCCGTGGCATTAGTGCGGAAGGCAGGTGCCATTGCGCTCAAATCCAACAAGGAGCGGCTTTCGTTTACCACCAAGGATCACGAGAAGGATCTGAACACGCGCGCCGACACCGAGATCGAGGACATGTTAACGAAGGCAATTCTGGAAAAATATCCCGAGCACAAGTAAGCCAACAACTAGTGTGCCGCAAGGCCAGCTGATTCAATAATTGCATCCTTCCACAGAGTAATCGCCGAGGAGGCGGTTTCCCAGACCGAATCGCGCCAGGTGACACTCACCAATGAGCCCACCTGGATTATAGACCCCATCGACGGCACCATGAATTTCGTTCATCATTTTCCCTACTATTGCATCTCGGTGGCGCTGCTTATTGACAAGGAAACCGCCTTCGGGATTGTGTTTAATCCAGCCTTGCAGGAATTTTATACGGCCCGAAAGGGCAAAGGCGCCCAGCTAAACGACGAGCCGATAACGACCAGCGGCCAGCAGAGCCTCAAGAGTGCCATGATCCTGCAGGAGTACAGCTCTGGCATGAACGAATCCCGCACCTCTGCATCCATGGAGAACGCCAAGCGGCTCATAAGGAAGACCCACGCGTAAGTTCACGGTTAAAATCAAAGTGTCGCAATCCAACCAAGTTCAATTTTGCTTGCAGCTTACGTTCAATTGGCTCCTCAGCCATGGGCCTGGCCATGGTTGCTTCTGGTGTGGCAGATGGGTTCTACTTCTTCGGATTACATGTGTGGGACATGGCGGCTGGCAATCTGCTAGTCACCGAGGCGGGCGGCACTGTCATAGATCCTGCTGGCGGCGCGGTGGATATTATGTCACGTCGCGTACTGGCCGCTGCCACAGAGCCACTTGCCAAGGCTCTGTCCAGCGAGCTCGTCCAAAACTATCCGAAGCCACGGGATGATGAGACAAGAGTGGAGACTGAGCCCCGCACAAAGGATTTCACTGCGCAGACAGAATTCTCTGATACCAGTTTATCATTAGATTCGGACAGTTCAGCATACCGTAATATTCGATAGCTCAAGCAAATGAACCATCTGCTCATCAAGAGTTCAAATCCATCTAAAAGCATGTAAGCCAGTAAACATTTTGGTACACCAATAACGGTTGTTTTCCTTTCGCTTCAAATGAAAATGTCGATTACTATCGATAAGTTTGTATCGGCGCACCGCAACCTCATTTTGCTGCACTGTGAACAGCACTGTGAATGCAGCCTTGTAATTTTTGAACACTTTTACAGCACTGGGCAAACAGCTGTTAGCTGCGAGCATTCATTCGTCTACCGCAGAACTTAATCTAATTACGCATTTGCAATCAACTGGACGTGAACGAAAAAGAAACGGAAACATACATTCAATGGCAGACAGCGTAGATTTGGGCAAGTGCTTCGAGATCATCAACAACCTGATCACAGAGGCGGGCCGGGTGAGTGAATATTGTGGGCCAGTCTTTGGCAAATAATTTACAAGGCTCTTTGCACAGCTGATTGCCCGCAACAATGAGACCCGGCAAGAGTTTGTGTGCAAGTCTGGGGACATTGACTTGGTCACTCAAACCGATCAGGATGTGGAGAAATTGCTCATGGATGGCATTCGTCAGCATTTCCCAGATCACAAGTAGCCGCATGCGACTCGAATGAAAAGCGAAATGCGTAATAAATATTTTCCAGGTTCATTGGCGAGGAGGAGAGCAGCTCCGAAGGCGGTGTCAAAAAGCTGACCGATGCGCCCACCTGGATAATCGATCCAGTGGACGGCACAATGAACTTTGTGCATGCATTTCCGCACTCTTGCATTTCCGTTGGCCTCAAGGTGAACAAGGTCACCGAAATTGGCATCGTTTACAATCCCATTCTGGAACAGCGTTTTACGGCCCGCCGTGGCCAAGGTGCCTACTACAACGGCCGCCGCATACAGGCAAGTGGTCAACAGCAGCTGAACAAGGCGCTGGTAACCAGCGAATTCGGTACCTCACGCGACGAGCAAAAGATGCAGGTGGTCAATGAGAATTTCGCCAAAATGGCCAAGCATGTGCACGGGTAAATTTCAATAATCTTTAATAGCAATCGCCCATTGATCTGATTTTCATCTTATACCCAGATTGCGTGTGCTGGGATCAGCGGCTTTGAATATGGCTATGGTAGCGCTTGGCGCTGCCGATGCCAACTACGAATTCGGCATTCATGCCTGGGACGTCTGTGCTGGTGATCTGATTGTACGGGAGGCGGGTGGAGTAGTCATTGATCCCGCCGGCGGCGACTTTGACATCATGTCACGCCGCGTCCTGGCCGCAGCTACGCCCCAACTGGCCCAGGAGCTGTCCAAAGTGCTGACCCAATACCACCCCCAGCCCCGCGACGATTAAGCGAAGCAGACCATAAATCGTCGCCATCTGTGCATTTGATGACTAACCAAAAAGCATTTGATCATTATGAAACCAGTACGTTTAATGAAATTCCATTGTTAATTGAAATAAATCTCGAGACGTGTAAACAATACAGTCATATCTATGTATATACTACATAAGCGGATGCTATCCGGCTTTGTGTGGGCCCTGCCCTATTTTACTTTTAAAGATCACTTATCATCTCATATTCCGACCTTGGAATAGTTAAATTTTCCGGCCCAACTAGTTATTTTATTGTATAAGATAATAGGCGTGTTATGATAATATGGCGTATCATTCCAAAACCAATTATTTGGCCGAGACTGTTTGGTCATGATGTCAAACTAGCTTGTTGATTTTTTGTAATATCTTGGCCAAATAATTGATTTTGATATGACACCATTTGGACTCAGTACTATCGATTGGAATTAAACAAATGAGCGCTATTCATGGTACCTAGTTGACCTGTTTAGCCTTGGTTATTCCATATCATGGATATAGTCCTAGCGAATCTAAAGGACCGAGTTTTCGCAAAATGCGCAAAAACTTGGTCCAAAAATATGTACATATGCTTTTCTTTTACAGCCGCCTCCTGGATGGTTTCTAGTTGAGTAACATATTCTTGGTTATACCATTCCATGGATATAGTTCTTGGGGACCTAGAGGATCAAATCCCTGCAAAATGTGCATTGAAATGGTCACAAAACATGTATGATATTTCTTTCAGGAGCTCTTTTACATTAGCTGCAGCTGCAACTGTTGTTTAACGGGCGGCGTACGCGCTCATTTTACATAGACTGCTAATTAACAGATCTAATTTAAATTGAGTTACATTTTTGCCTTTTAATGCTGTGCAATGAAAATTTTCATTCGAAGAACTCGTCGACCTTCTGGGCATTACTGTTCGCCTGTTATTTTGGCAGATTTTAAGAAAATTCTCGGCAGCCAGCGGCTTTTGGGAGTGCAATGAAATTGTTTTACAGACCGTTGATTTTTAAATTTTTTAATAAAAAAAAACAGGATTTTCTTCTTTTATTTTAAATAATTGATTTATTTATGTTTAAATTTACAACATTTTTGTTTTTAATAATAATTTTCTCAATTTCTCTTAAATAATTATATTTATAATTTGAGCTTATCTAAACTTAAAATAAGTATATCTGGCTTAATTAAATCACGTTTTTTTCCAATATCGGGGTAGGTTCGAATATCTCAACTTGTTTGACGATTTTTTTTTAAATCTCGGGTAAATATAATCTCATTTTGAAATGTTATACCTTTTTGAATTCGTACGGATCCCTACTATCAATTTAAGTTAATTAACAATCGACGGTTTGAAAAAAGTTGTTGTCCCAAGAACGATTTGTTTGTAAAGTCAACCTCTTTTGTTGATTTTTTGGCATATCTCGGCCAAATAATGTCCGATTTTGGAAAGATATACCATTTTTGACTCGTAAGGATCAGCACTATCGATTGGCGTACAGTACAATCTATTGGGACTAGAACCTCTTACTTGTTTAATATTATGTCATGCAAATGGCTTGGGTATGCAAAGTAAGTATATTGATTTAGATAAAGCTACCCATTTATATGGCTTGAATAAATCCAGTGGAGAGAGCTCGATTGGGATAGTACTTCGTTTAGCATATTTTAATGAATCTCACTTGAGATACTCCAAAAAAGGTGGAATATGCAGGCGAAAAGTTTTTTGGCCAACAACTTTTTTTTAATGAATGCCATATGATAGTAGGGATTCGTACGCATTCAAAAAGGTATTACATTTTAAAATGAGATTATATTTAACCGAGATTTTCAAAAAAATCGTCAAACAAGTTGAGATATTCGAACCTACCCCGATTTTGGAAAAAAACGTGATGTAACCCCTTGCTTTTTTGTCGATTTGGGTCAAAATTTAGATTTTTATTTTTCTAATGCCAATCGATAGTACTGATCCTTACGATCCTTATAAAATTCCAAAATTATTAAGCCGAGATAGTCTAAAAAAATTGTCAAAAAAGGTTGATTTTACAAACGAAACGTTTTTTGGTCAACAACTCATTTCAACCCATCAATTTTTAATTTGTTTGAATGCCGTATGATAGTAGGGATTCGTACGAATTCAAAAAGGTATAACATTTCAAAAACAGGATATATTTATCCGAGAGTTAACAAAAAAAAAGAAGCAGTCAAAAAAGTTTGTTTTTTTTTTTAACTTATATATGTTTATTGTATTGAATCAAAAAATATCATACCGTTTTATTACAAAATCGTTAACTTAGGTGGTATCTCGCCAATCCTGGTTGGCTCCTCAGGCTTTATCGTGGACAAACGTCAAAACCGTCTTCTTTGAGTAAGGCTGCACCGTCACGTAGTAGTAGTAGTGGTAGTGGTAGTGGTGGGCTCTGGGGCTTCTCCTGTATCGTGGTTGGAGGAGGTCTCTAAAGGATCTTTTCTTGAGCCTTCTACCTACACACCTCTCAGCGAGGTTGCTTGTATGGGTTGGCGAATGCTTCGACTCTGAGATTACTTGGCCGAGATAGTCTGAAAAAATCAACAAAAAAGGTTGATTATACCATCATTTATTTTCAACCCATCAATTCTTTATGACTCCGCGCGGAGATATGACGTTTCAAAAAGACATAACTTCGCGCGGAGATATGACATTCCAAGACGACATAACTCTGCGCGGAGATATGACGAGCCAAAACGACATAACTCTGCGCGGAGATATGACGTTCCAAAACGACATAGCTCCGCGCGGAGATATGACATTCCAAGACGACATAACTCCGCGCGGAGATATGACATTCCAAGGCGACATAACTCCGCGCGGAGATATGACATTCCAAACCCGACATAACTCCGCGCGGAGATATGACATTCCAAGACGACATAGCTCCGCGCGGAGATATGACATTCCAAGACGACATAACTCCGCGCGGAGATATGACATTCCAAGACGACATAACTCCGCGCGGAGATATGACATTCCAAGACGACATAGCTCCGCGCGGAGATATGACATTCCAAGACGACATAGCTCCGCGCGGAGATATGACATTCCAAGACGACATAACTCCGCGCGGAGATATGACATTCCAAGACGACATAACTCCGCCTGGAGATATGACGTTCAGAAACGACATAACTTCGCCTGGAGATATGACGTTCAGAAACGACATAACTTCGCCTGGAGATATGACGTTCCGAAACGACATAACTTCGCCTGGAGATATGACGTTCCGAAACGACATAACTTCGCGCGGAGATATGACATTCCAACACGACATAACTCCGCGCGGAGATATGACCTTCCAAATCATGTCGTCAGGAAGCTTCTCCGACCCCATAAAGTATATATATTCTTGATCAGCATCAATAGCCGAGTCGATCTAGCCATGTTCGTCTGTCTGTCCGTCCGTCCGTCCGTATGTATGAACACAAGGATCTCAGAACCTATAAGAGCTAGAGACTTGAAATTTTGATGTAGGTCTTCCTAGTGCCTGCGCAGATCGAGTTTGCTTCCGATAATCGATAACTTACTCCGTTTCCAAGCAATCGATAAAAATCGATATCGATATCCTGTTTTTTGGGCAAATTTGGTAAATAATAAGAGCTAGAGTCACCAAACTTGACATATAGCTAATAAAATAGAATATATATATGCATTTGATGTTGCAAGAAGAGAAGGGAGCTCCCGACTAGAACCTCTTACTTGTTTTTATACCCTGAACCCATTAAAAATGGGTATAAGGGTATATTGTATTTGAGCGAAAGCCACATGTATGTAACAGGCAGAAGGAAGCATCTCCGACCCCATAAAGTATATATATTCTTGATCAGCATCAATAGCCGAGTCGATCTAGCCATGTTCGTCTGTCTGTCCGTCCGTCCGTCCGTATGTATGAACACAAGGATCTCAGAACCTATAAGAGCTAGAGACTTGAAATTTTGATGTAGGTCTTCCTAGTGCCTGCGCAGATCGAGTTTGCTTCCGATAATCGATAACTTACTCCGTTTCCAAGCAATCGATAAAAATCGATATCGATATCCTGTTTTTTGGGCAAATTTGGTAAATAATAAGAGCTAGAGTCACCAAACTTGACATATAGCTAATAAAATAGAATATATATATGCATTTGATGTTGCAAGAAGAGAAGGGAGCTCCCGACTAGAACCTCTTACTTGTTTTTATACCCTGAACCCATTAAAAATGGGTATAAGGGTATATTGTATTTGAGCGAAAGCCACATGTATGTAACAGGCAGAAGGAAGCATCTCCGACCCCATAAAGTATATATATTCTTGATCAGCATCAATAGCCGAGTCGATCTAGCCATGTCCGTCTGTCTGTCCGTCCGTCCATCCGTCCGTATGTATGAACGCAAGGATCTCAGAACATATAAGAGCTAGAGACTTGAAACGTAGGTGCTCTTAGCTCCCGCGCAGATCGAGTTTGTTTCCTATAATCGATAACTTAGCAATCGATATTCTGTTTTTTGGGCAATTTTGGTAAATAATAAGAGCTAGAGTCACCAAACTTGACATATAGCTTCTAAAATAGAATATATATTTATATATTTGATGTTGGAAGAAGAGGGTTCAGGGTATCCTCTAGTCGGGAGCTCCCAACTAGAACCTCTTACTTGTTTTTTAATATCTCGAGTATATATCGTATGATTTTGAAATGTTATACCTTTTTGAATTCGTACGGATCCCTACTATCAATTGGCATTCAAGTTAATAAACAATCGACGGCTTGAAAAAAGTTGTTGTCCCAAGAACGATTTTTTGTAAAGTCAACCTTTTTTGTTGATTTTTTGGCATATCTCGGACAAATAATGTCCGATTTTGGAAAGATATGCCATTTTTGATTCGTAAGGATCAGTACTATCGATTGGCGTTCAAGAAATGAAAATCTAAATTTTGACCCAAATCGACCAAAAAAGCAAGGGGTTACATCACGTTTTTTCTCAAAATCGGGGTCGGTTCGAAAATCAAAACTTTTTTGATAATTTTTTTTGAATATCTCGAGTATATATTGTTTGATTTTGAAATGTTATACCTTTTTGAATTCGTACGGATCCCTACTATCAATTGGCATTCAAGTTAATAAACAATCGACGGCTTGAAAAAAGTTGTTGTCCCAAGAACGATTTGTTTGTAAAGTCAATCTTTTTTGTTGATTTTTTGGCATATCTCGGCCAAATAATGTCCGATTTTGGAAAGATATGCCATTTTTGATTCGTAAGGATCAGTACTATCGATTGGCGTTCAAGAAATGAAAATCTAAATTTTGACCCAAATCGACCAAAAATGCAAGGGGTTACATCACGTTTTTTCTCAAAATCGGGGTCGGTTCGAAAATCAAAACTTTTTCGATGATTTTTTTTGAATATCTCGGGTAAAAAGTGTCAGATTTTTAAAAGTTAAACCTTTTTGAGTTCGTACGGATCCCTACTACCAACTGGCATTCAAACAAATTAGAAATCGATTGGCTAAAAAAAATTATTGACTTAAAAACAATTCGTTTGAAGGCTCTTGATGCTTACTTTTAACCCAATAGAAAGCCTCTGCACGAATTCCAGGTGCTCAACGCTTATCGCCTAGGCTGTCAGTCAGTCAGTTTGTCAGTCAGTTTGTCAGTCAGTCTGTCGCTCGGTCAATCAGTCAGTAAACCAGACAAAAAGAGCTCTTCCATAAAGGTTTTTGTTTAATTGTATAGCTACCAGCACAGTAGTATTCAGTTTATTCAGAGACGCTTGTTTGCTTTCAAGTACTTTTCTGTAATTTTATTACAATCTGCGGCGCTTGTTTTGCGACTTTATTTGTTTGTTATTTGTATAATAATTGTTTTTTGTTTTTTTGTTATTCATTTTGCGTATACGTTTACGTATCTTTTGTAGCTTATCGTTATGCATACTGTTGGTTCTATTACTTGCATTTTTTAGCTGATAGTTAAGCGAATTCGTTTTGTATGTAGACAGAAAACTTGCCCCAGGGCACAACAAATGCTAGACAGAGGTCTTAGAAATCTAGAAACTCTTGATAGATAGACGACGTATAGAGCTTTGAACATGACCTGCCTGCACAGACCAGATTGCATTGCGTTTCAGTGCACACAACTTGCTTGTCTGTGCCGGTTACTAAATAGAATCTTTTGAACGGTTCTTTTTTTGTATTACTTTTTTTGTCGCGTAATATTCGCTTTACATATTGCTTGGGCTTTAGTTAGTCGAAGGGCGCGACTTTTAGTATAGTTGTGCTCTTGCCTAGTTTATAGCAAAGCTATTTGCATATACGATACATCTGATACATCTATAAATTTATTGCATGCTGCGTTAATCTGGTTCATCGAGTAGCGACTGACAGATACATTATAATAGTAGGAAGTCGACGTTTGTTCTTTGACATTATCTTCGTTTTTTGTTGAGTTTATTAATGCGTTTTGTGGAGAGTATTTGATGCATGTTGTACTAACCGTAATTACCATTTAAAATTTGACACATCATTGAAAAATGTAATCAAAGCTACAGTAGGTAAAAAAGTGTATCTATGAGTTACATATATCGTATATATAATTGTATAATTTAATTATGCATTGTATTATTACAAATCAAATATTAATGCTACATTCACAAAGTTTTCAATATGCGCACTGGCTTTTACACTGGTTCTCAATTTGGATATCGGATAGTGAATAGATCCTGGATATAAGCTGCAGCTAGAACATTTAGTGGAGAATTTACTAAGATATTGCAAATGTTATATATTTCTTTAGATACATATTCTAGTTGAATAAGCGAAAGGTACACATGGAGCATAAAACGGTCGCTACGCCAATTCTCGCATTTAGGTCTTGAGCGCAGCTACCTCTATATATATATTTACTATAATATGATTTTTTGTTCATACTAATAAAATTTACAAAATCTTCTATATAAATTCAACAATTAATGAAGAGCTTTAGAGTTTTGAAGATATATAGTAATTATCTATATATGATTTGTTTTTACTTGAACTATGTATTCGGTTTTGAAACGTAATACACAAAATTTAGCACCAATCTATTCAAAAATTCATCAAATTATTTGATTGTTCCAAGTTATACAAATGAAGCACTTAAGTTTATGCGATATCTTTTAAACGAATATAAGTATTATGAACACTTTTCGAATGATGGCGACGTCTGAGGCCGTCGTCGGTTAACACTTTCCGCAGGGAAATCATTTTCGGTCCGCGAAAGAGCATCATTTTAGCAACTTAAAGAAATAATAATCAGGGCGTGGCCGTTGTTAAATGTTAAAAATTAATTTAAAATTTATTTACACGCAGATACAATAAACGAGCAAAGAAAATTGGGTCTTTTTGCTTGAACTACACTAGATAACTCTAGGTTTACATAGTATATATATATATATATATTTTTTTTATGTATATGTATATATTTGATATATTTATAAGTAGTTCTTTAATTATACAGTAAGTATTATTAATATTATTATTATTTTTTTTTTAGAAAGTAAACAGTACTTTTCGAACTTGAACGCTCGCACTTCAGTCGAGTTTTTTTTTGTTTCTTTGAAAAGTTGCAAATAATGTGGGGATCGTGTTGGAAGCGGGATCTTGGGATCTAGGTTTGTTCGATTTGTAGGGCATGATTTCATGAGCTTGACAATGAAATAAATAAATCTTATGTTGCGCATGGAGTATGTACGGCTAGTGCTCAAGCTGCTTTAGAATGATTTCAAAATTAACAAAAACATTTCTCAGTTAAAAGTATCTCAAAGTCTATAATCGCAGGTGTGCGTGTGTGTGTGAGTGTGTGGCTGTGTGTGTTGGTGTGTGTTTGCATAAAATGTTTGCGAACGCCTTCAACATTGATAAATATTTAATGCATTACATTAGTTTTAGTTGTAGTTGTAGTTGTAGTTAACTATGTATCTGTATCTTGTATCTTGTATCTGATAAATTGGTTGCCTTTTGCTTTAATGTCGGATAGTTGTGTCTAATGCTGCCAACTCTTCGTTAAACGCTAATTACTTAAACATACAGATTGTAGAACATTTGTGGGGTCTACAGCTCGTCGTCCGCCTTGGGTATGTCGAAGATCTCGGCAAAGAGCGGCGGCAGGCGCAGCTTGGTCCAGTTCATTCGCAGCCAGTCGAGATGTGAGAAGTGTTTGGCGCCCAGTGAGCGCAGCTCCGGTATTTTAGCCTCCAGCGCCGGCATCAGCTGCAGCGCCTGCGTCGAGCCCGCTCGCGAGCGCAGGATCTGAACACGCAACGCCTCCGCCACCAGCTCCCGGGCACGGGCAATCACCTTCGGCTCACTGAGGCCCGTCCGATCCGATGCCAGCAGCACCATCGCGGAGAACAGACCAATCTCTGTGTCGCTCAACCCATATGCGTTCAGCGTGTTGGCAAAGTTCAGCAGGGCGTTCACAAAATCCGACTGCAAATGGAAGATCGTATTAGCCAAGTCGATGACAACTAAACGAGATCTAAGCCTTATCGTAACGAACTTAAAATAAAAATATAAAATGAAATTATTCTTGCTAAACTATGCATTTGAATACTACATGAATAAAAGCTTATCCTCATTGGATATATATAAAGATATAAATCTAGTTTTTTAATGGGAAGCTTGAAAAGTTGGACTTCCATATCATATGCCGCCGAAAGGAGCAATCTATCGGAAATAAAGCATTTGGCCTATTAAAAGCACGTCTACCAGGGCAGCACGTCGCTCTGGCGTTTTCTCACTTACATCGTAGAGTATCTCGAGCTGCTGTCGGGTCAGATATGCGCCATCGTCCAGCGTCAGCGTCGTATCATTGATCAGGCGGGCAACATGCGTCAGCCACACCTCAAAGAAGCCCAGCTTGATGAGTATCAGTTGGTCGTCCTGGGTGAAATCACAGAAGCCGGGTACGCGTTTCGCGAACTCCACAATCCGCTGCACGCCGGGCGTGACGCGAGCCGAGAACTGCTGCCACAGCCAGATCTTTTGAAACTCCAGGCTCTCCGCCACCGTGGTGACAATCTGCAAAGGAGTATATGAATCGCCTGTTAATCGGACAGACATATTTGAATTTGATGCGGCCCTTACCCCGTTCTGTGGCACCGTCACTGGACGTCGCATCAGCTCGCGTGTCAGCTCCTCGGTGTAGGAGCAATTGAGGCGATGCGCCTGCGAGACGCACATGATCACATCGTAGACGGTCAGCTCGTTGGCGGTGCCGGCGAGGCTGTCGTGATGATCGTGCGGATGGCACATGCCCACCTGGGTCATGGCCATGTCCCCGCTGCTGCCCATGCTGACCAATTGCTGATGATGGTTGCCCACAACTACAGCTGTTGCATTGCTGTTATTGTTGCCGCTATTGTTGTTGCTGTTGTTGTTGTTGTTGGCACTATTGCAACCGCCCAGCTCCGATGGCGACGAGGCTATCGAACACATTTGTGGCGTTTGTGGTGTACTTGGTGTATTTACGCGCTGCACGCTGCTCGCATGCGGCTGCTGCTGCTGCTGTTGTTGTTGCTGTTGTTGCTGTATTAGATTTGTATGCAAATTATTGGCACTGGTTTCATCCACATTTAGGGGCGCGCTGGCTGCTGATGCTGTTGCAGCGGCTGCTGCTGCTGCCGCACCGTTCAGCTCACGTGAACGCTTGGGTACGCGACCATAACGCACAGCTGCAAGAAAGCGAGAGAGAATTGTCAGTTGGCTTTCAAATTCAAATTAAAGCGCCAAGTATATCAAAGCAGCCGCAAGGTATGCAGCATGAATATAATTTACAGCTAAATACCTTAACAGCGCAAAAGTATGCTATACTAAAATGTTTATACTTAACAATTGCTGCCCAACATATGTTATATAATAAAGTGTTGCATACTTTTCAGCGTCGCAAGTTTACAGCAGTTTACAAGCAGCAATTGTTATGTAGCATACTTTTAAGAGGCGTTATTTTAATATTTGTTTTCAACTAAAACGCACACTTATTTTATTTATGCGCCATAATCAACATATTAGGCAACATTAACTTAAATTTATATTACTCGTACATAGCAACACGTTGCTAGTTTTGTCATTTAAAGTTTGCGTCACACACAATGGAAACCCATTTATTAGCTTCTAAAGCAATTTATATTTAAATCTTAGCCAAAATGTCACACAATAAAAGTGGCACACGCATAAATCTAAAGCAAACACACGCACACACAGACAGACGGACGCACCCACTGTATCATTTATAGCAAATGGGCAACAAAATTCTTGTAGCAGCTCAACTGGCAAATTTGTACCAAAATTTAACTTGGCAGACAGCAAATTGTTGTTGCTTCCGCTCAAAAACGAAAATACAAAATAAATATCATAATTTTTTAGCATTTTTCTAAAAAAAAAATGTTCATTAGCTTGACGTTTTAGTTTTCAGCAGAGACAAACGAAACAAATTGCAAAAATGTAAACGTGAAATTTCTTTTGTGCAACCAAATACACAGCATATTTTATTAATTAAAATCGCATTTGCCTTTTGGCAGCCGGCGGCGACGACGCAGCCGGCTGCTGCTCCAGTTGCTGCTGGCTCTCAACTGGTGGCAGCAGCAACTGGCTCTGGCTCTGGCTCTGGCGCTGGCGACGCTCACTTTATCAGTGGGACATTGACCCACTGTGCTCAATATAAAAAACTGTCTGATTTTGTTGTGTGCGTGCTTTGTCTTGCTTTTGTTTTTGTTTTTGTTTTTGTTATTGTTATTGTTATTGCTGCTGTGTTATTCGCCACAGCCGGCGGCGGCGTCCGTTTCAACGACAGCAACAGCAACAGACAATCCAAAAGATACTTTTGTATCTTTTACACATGTTTGTTGTTGCACTTATGACGAAACGGCGCGCGGCGATATCTGTTCGAGTTGTGCAAAGTGGTCAGCGAGTAGGCTAAGACCTTGCTCAAGCCAAAGCCAGGCGAAAGAAATTGCGCATACGCAGCGTGCGCCCGGAAAACTCAAAATGCGCGTGGGCAGTGAAAGGCGAGAGACGAGACGCGAGAAGCGAGAAGCGAGCAGAGCGGCAGCTGATCGTTTGGGATTGGCCAACGCATTGACCCACATCTGTGGGCCACTTTTTTAGCGCCGGCCTTGTGTGCGCTGTGCTGCAGTCACGCTTTGCATCAGCTGCTCATCTCGTTAATTGTCACAGCTCGTAAATTAATTATGACATAATAACTAGACACACACACACACACACACACAATAGCTGCACATTGTTGCTGCATACACCTTCAACTCTGGTAATTGTTTGTGGCGGGCGCTCTGCTCTGTTTATTTTTGTATTATTACTTTTAAGGTGTCTTCAATTAGCAGCTCATTGCGCCGACGCTGCCAGCTGCACGATTTGTTTGCCTAGCGCCCGCTCTCGCCAGCTTGTTGATCGCTACTTTTGTGCAGATATTTTTATTGACTTGGAGCCGAAGGCTAGATTGGCCACTCGAGAGCCTCATAAAGCTGTCAATAAGTGGAGCAGCTCAATGCCCAGGCAAGCAGCAGCAAAGTATCGCAAAGTGATTCGCACATAGGTTGTTACAGTTCGAAACTAAGCAAAATGATTCAAGTTTTACAGGCAACAAATGTAACAAGCCGCTTCACGGTTTGAACCAGCGAACCAGTCGGAAGGTTCGGTTCCGTTCATCGATAAGCTCAGCTTTTGGTTTGAAAATTGATTCACACATTTTTACTAGATGTTTCTTAGATTAGAGCCGCAAACCTAGTTCAATTCTAAATACATAGCATAGAAGCTGACAAACAGATGGAAAGTCGCCGGTTCAAACCCTGCAGCAATTTACAATTTTGTATGTTTATTAAGTAAAACATTAAATAGTAAAAAATAAATTTGGATTTTAAAAACGAAAGTAAGGAAAAGGGTGATTATCGCAATGCCTAAATCTAAACAACATTGCAATAATATTCTTAAAAATTTAATAAATTAATTTGAACCACAACTTTTTAAATTTGTTTCAGTTCAAGCTGCCAACTAGTCCGACTTAAGGTTCGGTTCGATTTAAAGGCAATGTTTATGCCAAAGTCCTTTGCGGCTCTCATAAAGAACTTATTTGCTACAGTTAAAGTGGAGTCTTATCCAGTGCCTTAACAAAATCAATCCAAACAAATATTTATCCACAAAAACTATACAAATGCCACATTTCATTGTGGCTCACATAAATAATTTGTTGCGCTCGCTGCTTTTCCCGGCCATAATCTACGGCATTAGCTATTCAGCCGTGCCGGCTTAGACAGGCTGCTCCACATTTTAGCCAGTCACCTGACAGCCACCCACCACCCACAGGCCATCCACAGGCCGCACTAGACGCCCACTCTCTGGCACTCTCGACAAACTGTGCAGGTCAACATCATCCATTATACACACAGAGTCCAGGTCGGAGCAGTCACATAAATAAGACTAAGCCTAAACTTCTTTGCCTGCTGAAAGCATCTTAAGTGATTTAGTGCAGCCAAATGGCTTCAATGATATAGAGTCAGAGAGGGGGAGGAAGAGATGGAGAGGGAAGGCGTGCAGATAGGGACTAACTTGTTTGAATTCACAGCATCCATTCAGCGCACATCCATCTGCGACGCGGTGTGTGCCAGGCCAGGATTTGGGTCACAGAAATGTGAATCGGCAGCCGTAAAGTGGCCCAAATGTTGCACACTGTTGACCGGCATGTGGTTGGCCATTAGCATGCGAAGCTCAATCCGAAACTGAAGCCAACTGCCAGCCAAGCAGCCAGCCATCAACTGCCCGACAACAGCAACAACAACAGCAACAAAGTATTCACATAATCATACTGCATATAGTTGATTTTTCTTTAGTTTTTTTTTTTTGGCTTTATTGTGCGCTTGAATGGGCTCGGGCTGGGGCTCGGCCCCCGGTTCCGGCCGCTGCCCTGGCCCCACAACCCAACGGCATAATTTGGCCCGCAGTTGCTGCTGACCTCGTTTGAGGTCGTTCATTCACCTGTCGCTGTTGTTGCTGCTGCTTTTGTTGTTGTCGCCGTGCTGCACTTTATGCACTAGACATTTGCCAGCATGTGTGTGTGTGTGTGTGTGTGTGTGTGTGTGTGTGTGTGTCAGTCAGTCCGTGTGTTTACCCAGTTACGAAATTGTCCAAAATGCTGCGGCTTACTTGGGTGAAAGTTTGCTTCTTCATTTTTTTTAGTTTTTTTTTGTTTTTTGTTGCTGCTTTTCTATGCTTGCTACGCGGGCTTCAGCATAGCTTCAGCTATGCAACCCCATTTGACAACTAATTCAAATATTTTTATATCTAAATAACCTTTGACTTTTATAAAACATATAATTTAAGCGCTTGTTAATGTTAGGTGTGCAGTTCATAGAAAGAAATTTAAGAAAGTAGAGAAATTTTTCATACCTATCATTAAATATAGTTTTTCCTATATCTTCTAGAGACTCGAACCTTTCGATATAAGCTTTATTAATTTTGCCAACTTTTTATTTCTTAAAATATTTTTTTTATCAAAATTTTTTGTTTTTATACGCAATTTTTTTTAATCCAACCCATTTGAGCGCCATTCCAATAAAAATTGTTCAAAAAACCATTCCTCTATTTTTGTTTTTTAAATTTCGCAAAAGGGTAGAGAAAGAAGGGTCTGTTAGGGTATTTCAGCTTCGGTGCGCTCGAGCAAAAATTTTTTTTTTCTAGCATTTGTTTGCGTTTGCTTGCGTCAAGGTGTGTCGATGTGTTTGTGTGTGTGTGTGTGTGTGTGTCGGTGGCAGTTGTTGTATCTGGAGCAGCTAAAAATTGTTAGTTGCGTGCTAAATTTGTTGCTTGCCAGCGTCAACATCAACAACAACAACAACAACAACAATAAACACAACGAGGTAGCAATAATAGAAAAAAAAAACACACACACACACACACGAACACGCAGCAGCCGCCCCGCCCAACGCCCAACCGCCCACTCGCAAATAAAAATTGTGTCAAGCAATTTGCGTACATTAACGCAAAGTTGTTGCTATTGTTGTTGTTGTGGTTGTTGTTGTGGTTGTTGTTGTTGTTGCCTATTCATGCCGCCAATTGCAATTTAATGAGCGTTAAAAGCAAGGCAACCAACCAGTTTGAACCGAAACGGTTCGAGCACGCAATTCACATTTACTTTTTGCCGTGAACCGAACCCAAAACCAAATCACAAAAAATAAAGAAAACAACAGCTGAGCCGAGATACGAACCGAAAAAGAAAAGAACAAATCTTCTGAGGAAAACCAACTGCAAAATTGAGATACATTTATCTCACCATATTTGTCATAGAGTTTGAAAGAAGGCCGTATCGAAGATATTTCCAAATTGCAATAATTCAGTAAAAGTAAGTGAAAATCTACTATAAAACACGATTTGAACCACATGCTGGTTCAAACCCTGCTTTCAAGCATGTGCAACACCCACTTCACGAACCGAACCTCAATACAAATGAGTTAATTTTAGCAGAGAACCGAACCATTGTTTATTTATTTGCGCGTCTGCAGCCCTGGTTAAAAGTCTTTTCTTTTGCACTTGTTTGGGCCCAGGCTTTAATTGTTCGACGTTTTAGTCCCTGCCCGCGGGGCAGTTGCGCACATTACTGGGAAAATCACAAACGAAATGCTTGCGATCGAACCACTTGCCAATCTCACAGAAGCCCAGCCGCGGA